GCCACAAAGAGACATGAACTGCCTTTCCCTGACCTAACTCTTATATAGGTCAGATGAGCTCCAGCCCTGAACTGGAAGTCATGTAATCATGTTAGGACAGCAAAGAGCCTGAGCTAATAAACCCGGCCTTTCAAAGAGCTTATTGGTTTGGGCTCAGTGCCATGCTGAGGTTAACAAGGTAAAAACCCGTTTAACAAAGGAGACATATTTGACCAACCACAGTCAGGTCAATCATTTAAGATTTAAACATTCCCTCCAGAGGTATTTACTCAGTCGGTGCACGTTGCTTACAGTTGATTCTGTACCTTCTGATCCTGCTTTAAATTGTATCTCCCAAATCAAATTAGAGTAGGAGAAGCTTTCCTATTTCCTTATTGCAGTTGACAATCGCACGTGGGGTCAGCAGATATTCTGAATTCACATGAGAGAAGCCTGAATCACCTATTACATCCAGGAAAAGAATCTGTAGCTCAAAATATTAATTCCCTTTCTTTCCAAGGTTAGACTAGAACAGGCAGAGTATTCTCCCCTTTATTGAAAACATGTGTGCATGTGTGTGTTTATCAGCACTGCATTTTATACACTGTTTCATTCAAACCAATATACACTCCAGGTTTTATGGTGTATTTTGGCTCAAGTGTGATTGCTAGGACAGTGTTTACAGCAATATTCAGTGTGTTCTGCATAGCCCTGCCCATCAATCAACACTGTAATAAAGCAGAAAGCGAAATCACTGGAAAAGCAGCAGAGCTGCTGAATTCAAGTAAGCCATTCAAAACTACCATGGAGACAAATGCAAATGCAGTTGGGTCAAAGTAGCCATTTACCTGTTGATTAAAGGGGAAGAAAAACTATATACATGCTGCATTATGGTTTGCCTTAAAAAAAATAACATAGGCTCCAAAGTGTTAATTTTTTCCTGCCTATTTTCTCTGGCTTAGTGTTTCAAGATGACTGCTGCTCCATATAGATTTATAATATGTATGTGTTTATTCACACATCTCTAAGTCAACAGGAAAGGCAGACCAGAATACCAAATCTATCATTAAATCTACATGTTGGCACGTACAAAAAGCTGCAGGACTTCATTTTTTTCTGGCTAAGACTGAAGGGATAAATTGAAAGAATGAACAAACAAACAAGCCATGCTCATCCTTAAAATACACACACAAAGGAAGAGAGGGAGAGAAGGGGAAAAGAAGATTGCTTGTAAGGTTGTTGGTTTTCAGGTTTGTCTAACAGATCAGGAATAAGTTTAAGAGCAGTATTATCTCTGATTCTTTCTAGATGTCACATGGGTTTGCTGACAAACACTGGGGTTCAAAAGCCCCAGCACTGCCTCAGCTCTGGAGCAGCATGTGCTATTCCCAATTCAGACACTGGAGTGTGATGCAGCTTCCAGCCCTTGCCCAACCTGAATATCCAGGCTCTGCTTCACAGTTTTTATTCTCTCCCCAACTGTGAAGCAGTGCTTCACAGTGTCAGGGTGCACCACCCTGGAGTCCTAATCTTAGAACTAGCACCTCCAGATGATACTGTAAAATAAATGGTGATGGTGATATTGATGAATTATCACTCATTTGGCTGGTTTATTTTAATTTTGCTTTAGTCTAGATCATAAAGAATTAACATAAAAACAGAACTAGAGTAAGATCTATGCACCCAGAGCCCCATAGAATTCACACTGGAGTCAGCAGGACTCCAATAGAAATTGAAGGGGGCTCTGAAATGAATTCAAGGTAGGTGCTTAAGCAGTGCCCTGCCGGGGGTCACAGCACACCCAGTGTGACAGCCACCCCCAGTGAATCCATCTGACTGTGAATGAAAGCCAATCAACAGAGCTGGGAGTGCAGACAATGCAGGCAGGGCAAAGAAGTGCTCAGTGTGAAAATGAAACCGAGGGAGAGATGCTCTTAGCCCATTAAGGGCTATAATGAAATACTGCATCTTGAGTTTGTTGCTGTTAGAAGGAAGCCAGGAAACGAGCAAGAATTCATTATAAAGCTGCTCAAGACCAAAACATGAATCATTGGGTTCTAAAAAAACCTAGTTGTCTAGAGAACGGCATAGATGAAAATGAATGGAATCTCTTTAAATTACTCTCTGTATAAAGTCTTTCACATTCATCCTTTTCTGGCTTTCTGATTAGTATCTTTCTGGGATGTGGGTTTTTAAATAATTCCACACCACACTCCCAGCTTCTGCAATCAAAACACTGAAATGGCTCTTGATTCTGCGTTTTTCATCTTCATTTACAGGGAAAAACGTCTTCTGCTGTAAGAAACTTGAACACCTACTGTCCTACCCATCTACTGGATATCCCAAAAGTATATGCTGGAGGCTCAGTAATCAAACGAAATTACGATTCCCTCATCACTTTACAAATAAGGGGACTTTTGCATGTTATTGCTGCCCAAAGGAGGATTAAATCATCTCTGGAAAGCCCTCAAGATCATTAATGTCCTGAAAAGCTGAGACCTCTCTGATCTCAGCACCCCTGACAGAAAAGCAAAAAACCCCAAATCCTACATAGGGAATTGAGAAGACTTCCCTGCAAACCCAAATGGAAGTACCTGAAAGGAAAACATGGCAGCAAAACACAGCCCTTAGTTGTTTTGTTCATGCTCTGACCAGTTTCCTGAGAAAAGCAGGTCTGTGTGACCACATGGTGTGCTCACCTACATCTGTCCCTCACACCAGCCCCTCTCCAGCTATTTCTGAGCCCTCCAGCAATCATAGTTTCCATGTGACAAGCTCCACTGAAGGAACAGCAGTACTGGGAGCTAAACTGGTGTCAGCCATGGGGGAAACCACCTCAAAGCTGGAAAATTGCCATGTTCTAAGAGCCAGAAAAACACAACTTGAGTTAATTTCTTACTAGGCATGTACCCCGTCAGACCAAAGAAATCCAGCCACAAAAGTCTGTTGAAAAATCTGTTCATACATCTCACAGCTGGCTGGGACCATCCCTATGGCAGCAGTTTTGCTAAATATGCTGCACTGGTTATTCTGTTAACCAAGACTGCTTGGAGAAGCATAAGAAAGAAAGAAAGAATTTTCAGGAAAAATCAGAAACCGCACACGATTGCCTAAGACCTCAGGCTTCTCATAGGAACGTGTCCCACTCATGACTGCTGGAGTGGATTTTACAAGACTTACTGTGATGACATCCAAAATTTATTACAGCTTTTACAACAAGGCCATGTCTAGTAAAGAGTGATGTAGTGACAATACTTACTTGTCTGGATTTAGCTTCTTTAGCTTCTTAGGGCACATAAATATAGTTTTGTACTTCAAGAACAGCCATAGCTACCTACTAAATCTTGAATAATACAAGGCAGCTTTGTAGACCCTTAAACACATGTACCAACTTGGTTCAGTCTCCTCCACAAATCTGCTTCCTTACTGCCTGCACAGTCAGTATCAAGACCTTGCTCTGCTCATCTTCTGTCAACCTGAGCTTCTAAAATCAAAATCTTTGGAAATCATGCTTTTAAACTCCTATGCTTTCTGAGAATGGAATTCATTACATTCAGAAAGTGGCCAAGTTTGTTTTCCCACCTCCTCACTTACAAAACAAACTGAAAACCTTATCTGTCTTCCTTGGTACATGCATGATGAATTTTGTGCAACTTCATTTGAAAACCAATTTATTGACCGTAGGTGTGAAAACTCTATCGTACATATAAATCAAATTGTAGATTTCTGATAAGCACTGAACAAGGTATTTTTCTGGAGTAACAGTTTAAAAAGACAATCTAAAACAAGATTAGTGCAAAATAGGAATAGCTGGAAAAAACTAGCGATATTTTATGCTGCAGTTTTTGGGGAGTCAGATTTGAAGCATCTTGAACTGTCCTGAGTTACAGAAAGCAGCCTGATTCTGATGTCAGAAAATCAGGCCCCTTGAAATGCCTCATGCTCTTCACCACACAGGTAAAAATAATACCTTCCATACACATTGTACTCGCTGATATCCTGGTTACCAAAATTAAACAAGGACTAGGGGATACTTTGCCAAGTAACATGACTGTATTTGAAAAACCTGAATCCAGCCAGGAGTAGCCATAAAACCAGGTCAGAGCCCAGCCCTGCTGGCTCAGCTCCTGGTGGGTGCCCCAGCAGCCTCCCAGCCTGATGCTGGCCTTGCCCTTCCCTGCCAGGGGGCTCCTGGAGATTACTCAGGGAGCTGGGGCAGAAAAGAGGGGAATTCTCCAGGACAACCTTCCCAAGACACCCAGACTATCCCTGGCCCCCAGAGAAGTCTGACCTACCAGCCCCAGAAGTCACACTCCCTACCCCAAGGCAGGGCACTGCCCAGACCCAGCCCTTATACTTCCAAGAAGGACTAATGTCAGACAAGCAAATCCATCATGACTGCACCAAGAAATAAAAAAAAAAAACAAAACAAACAGACAAACAAAAAAAAACCCAACAAAACAACCTCATACTTAAATGCTAATTTACCTACATTTTAAGTATTCCCTGTATGCCACAAAGGGCTCAGGCTATTTCCACGTTCAGTTTTGTTGTTGCTGTTCTTAAAAAAAACCACATTGTTCTTTCCCTGTGACATTTCTTCATATCTTTGAAAGAATGCTCTCTGCTACCACAAAATATTTGGCTTGAATCCTCCAGTGAGGAGGAGCCAAGGGTTTGGCTCATGTTTTAAAAACAAAAGAAATATTACCCTAAACATAAAACAAATGAGTGCAACTGTAACAGTAGATGGAGATAGAGCTCCTAGCACAACCTATGAATAATTCCAAACCCTATTAGAAATAACACAGCTTTCTGAATTTCCCTAGAAAACAGCATGTCATGATTAGGTTCCAGCTTGACTGAAATGCAAAATATCACTGTTTTCAAAGACAGAGCTGAGCAAAAGACAGTATGTAGTGCAACAACTTAAATTGCAAAGCATATCCACTTATAATCCAAAATTGTGGGAGACAATATGTGTACACATAAGAACAAAGATATTAAGAGAGGGCTCTTACCTCCATCCCCAGATCCTGAGCCAGCATCTGAGAAAAGAACAGAAAGAAATTTATATTCATGTGTTCCAGTATGTGCTGTGAGCATGCAAAGCAAGGCTTCAGTGAAGTGTACTACAGTGTACCTCGTGTTTGATGGCATCCCTGGGTAAATTATAGAGATCTAATCTGAATGTAATTCACTCAAGCCATCTTTCTCATCTCTCTATTTTTTTTTTCTTTAAAGTCACTCTATCAGATGAAAATACTGTAAGCCACAGAATGCTGCAATGTCCTTCGAAGTCTCTACCCTGTTTTGTTGTACTTAGACTGATAAATCTTTGTTCCCAACAGCAGTACAGAGTTACTCCACTTGGTCACTACTAAATCCTCACCAAGGAGAAATTTTAAAAGCCATTTGTTTGAGGACAGAGCAATTGTAAATTCGTATCGTTATTTTTAGAAAACGGGACATCTCATCAAATTGTAACTGGCTGGAATAAACCATTAAATTACTATTATTCAAAGTCTTCAGGTAAATGATTAAAATGCCATTTTCCCTCAAGGTTGTTGCTGAGTTCCAAAATTGAGTGCTTTCTTTCTTCCCTGCTCAACATTTTGTTGGCTGGAATGATGAGAGTCATAGATTCAGAAAGTGCAGCATCACAAAACTGCCAAGCCCAGAGCTTCAGTAAGAAACTTTGTAAGCAAGGCAAAGCATAGAAATGCACACACATAGGGCCACCAAAAATAATGCCTCAGAGGAGTTTCTTCTGCAGGGAAGGGAGGGAGGCTGCCATCCTATCCTCCCCCCTTAGTGGAAGAGTTATGCATTTATCAGCATCAAGACTAAAGGAGTTTGGAAAAGCTGCTTTGGGATCAAAGTACCCTGTGAACTGTTAGATCTCATTTATGACAGCGAGGCCTGGTGGATCTGAACTTGCACACGGCATCACTCCTCAAAACTAAGAAAGGAAAGGAATATATTTGCTAAATAATTGGTTGCAAGAATTGCTTCAAATGGCAGATTTATGCAGCAAGGGTGCAAAGGCTGGATGCAAAAGGTGGCTGGAAAAGGGAACAGAAATAACAGTGTTTTCCTAGTGACCACGTCCCGAGTTTTCCTGATCTCACCTTTGTTCCTGATGCTCTTTCCCAAATGAGCTACTGAGGGAAGAGGGAAGAAAGGTGTGCACTGCTTCTCCAGGTGTGCCAGATCTCTCCAGCACAGAAAAAGAAACTAACATCTGCTATCACCTGCCTTCCACAGTGACCTGGCTCTCTGCAGGAAAAGGACCTCGTGTTTCTCCTCCTGCCCTACCCCTGAGGGGCCAGACCCCTGCCAGGCATGGCCAGAAGGGCTGCTCAGCTCTCTCAGAAGCCCAGGTCTGTGCTGGGGGCTCTTGAGCACCTTCTCTCTCTGCCCCATCCCATAGGAAAAGCCTAAGGAAAAGTGTTGGTCCCTTCTCCACTGAGCTCCTCCTTGGGAGGAGGAAAAGGAGGCCAAGATGATCAAGACTTCAGGAAAACATAATTTTTTTTTCCTTCTCTGTTTCTGAAATCCACCATGTGTTTCAAAGAGAATGCTGTCTACACGGTCATTGCCAGCAGGCAAATAAGTTTCAGAAAAGTTGTAGCAAATGTGCTGAAATTATCCCTTTAATCAAAAAGTTTGAACCAAAAAGACCAGTTGCTGTGCTGAGAGAATTTACTAAGTTGAACAAATCCTACACCACAGTAGGTTTTGTCAGCCTGAGCTCCATTTAATACCAATTTATGGACAAAAAAATTGCAGCATATGTTTTTTTCTTCTTGAAAATTGTCAGGTAACAGCTTCAGAGAAAAACAACATTTCCAGAGAAAGGAGTTTATTTTCTCTCAGGTGTATGAAACATGAAATTACAGCACTGAAAAAAGTTTGTCTAATGTACTTTTTATTGACTCCTCCATCCTCAGCCAAGAAAAAATTCTGCTTTAAGTTTAAAGAAATCTCTCAAGAACAAAGGCTTAATCCTGTTCTTTTCAAGTTAACTTCACTGCCCACCTCTAACAGATACCGAGCACAAAAGAAAAACATCAAGAAGTCCTACACATAAGCAACTTGGTTTTCCTGACAGATTTTGCTCATTCACCTTTCTAGCTGTTTTCATACAAGCTGAGATATAAACAGCTCACAAGGCTCAGCTGTCTCACACACCAGTCAGTTTTCTCAAGTCCAGAACAAAACACCTGTGGCACAGACCTGTTCATTATGTGTGCTTTGGACTGTTTTCAGCTGCTATAAATTGGCAGGACTCATTACAACCAGTGGTCTGTTGAATCATACCAGCTGGGGATCTGGCCCTACAAGGATAAGGAAAAACCTAAGAAACTGGATTGCAGGCAATAATGCTCCAGTTCTCTCTCTTCAGATTATGGAGAGGTTTGTGGTAATCCAGATGCCCATTTATCAGACATCTGCTCGCTTAATCTGCTACCAGTTCACTTGTAACAGCTCAGAAGTGTAGGCAGGGCACAGGATGATCAGGAGCACAAGACACAAATTAAAAAAACAAATCTACTTCTGTGCTGAACTCTTCCAAACAGTGCCAGGGGTACAGTGTATCCCGGACTGTGAGCCTAGAGCAAGTTACTTAAAAGGGAAGGATGGCAGCGACTTCTCATGCCCCAAACTGTAAAGAATTAAGCTGTGATGAGTTCAGATGCAGAATTCCAGTGGCTTTTGCCATGCCCAGGCCGTTTTCCTGGGGCTGTGGCAGGGTCAGCAGGCAGCCTGGGCTGAGTTATACATACCAGTGGCACACGATCCCTCGGACACCAGCAGGATCTCACTCTGCTGCTTGCAGGCAGCCTGCTTCAAGTAGCACTCGTTCTGGTAGGTGTCACCATTGGAGCCACACACGGGCACGTAGTCATTGTTACACTGATGGCAAGGGACAGAGGGCAGAGTGTTAGTCACAGCAGCAGGGGGAACAGAACCCACTTGGGTGCCCCCAAACACACCCCCTGCTCCCTGCCAGCATTAAAACCCTGGGACAACAACAGAGAAGGAGACACTGAATCCTCTCTCACCTTTACAGCTAAGCAGGGGAGAGGGAAGAGTGCTTTTAAAAAGAAAAACCAGATTTGAAGAGATTAGGGAAAAGGCAATCTGAATGGGCCAAGTGCCCCAGAGAGGTCTCTCACTGCCAGCAGGAGCAGAGGGCATTCCCAGGGAAGGCACAGGGGTGAGGCAAATGACTCCTCACATCTGCAACAGCAGCTGCTGTGTTTGCATTGGAGGGCTGCAGACAAACAGCAATGAACAGGCTCTCCCTTCCCTCCTCCTGCACACACAGGTGTGTGTCTAACTGCTCTAGTACCGACTGGTCAGAGGGAAATTATTCCTGAGGCACCAACGAACCAAGTCCATCCCTCTTTCTGCACAGACATTCCTGTTCCCTGCAGAAAGCTGCAGCTGGGATGCTCCACTAAGGCCCAAGCTCTCCCCATGGTGGCCAGTGGGCAGGAGCAGCAGCACTGCAGTAAGCTCAGCCTGTGCACAAGTTTCTCACACCCTGCTTCAGCTCAAACTCCTGCTGAGCTCTGCTCAGTTTCCTCTACCACTGCAAGACAGCTTTGCCCCTTCTCGTTCATTAAAAAAAATAATAATTTCATTTTATGCTGAAAATTGGGCAACCTACGGGGTGCAGTTATCACAAGATAATCATGCTTGGAGGCTTAGAAATACTTGGATGTGCCCTGTACATGGCAATTATACCAGGGATGTGATTATCTCGTGATTACCCTACTCCTCATATGCCTCATTGTTTAATTAGAACAAATGGAATGATCACAATTATTATTGACAAATGCTCACCTCTGCCTAAATCCTAGTTAAAATTTAGAAGATCACATACATCCTATTTAGCTGTATTATGCCACAGTGTGTCTGAGGTGTGTTTGTTGGGCACAACGTGAAATGCAGAACTGAAATATCAGGGATATTAACGTCAAAAATACTTTAAACTGAATGACTACAGAAGTGATTAACACAAACAATTGCATAGATTGCATTAATTGCAGGCCTCCACACAGAGCAGCTGCCAAGAAATTATTCATAGTTGGTCAGAGTGACATTTTGATTGGGCCAAAACAAATGGCATTTTCCTTTTGCATTGTATTCTCTTCAATCTTCCCAAGATGTTGCCCACCCCCAGCACCCTCTTCCCTCAGAACAAGGAAGAAAAACAGCAGCCACAACAGTAGAAATCCTCTCCTTCTGCTCCTCACGAAGGGTTCCTCCATGCAGAGATTTTAAACTGTTGATTAAAAACGTTTCTAGGCTATTTTCATCATTATGTTCCAAATCTGAGCAATGTTTCAAGCATAAAATGCCAACTTCATCCAGAAGCTCAACAGCAATTGCTGGAGGCTGATCTGGAATACATAACCAGGACAATTAACACAATCGTGCATATTTTTTAAAGCATGAAGCATCAAATCATGCTTGCTTTAGGTGTAATATCTGCCTGTCACCCAAGGATTTGTGAGGAATTTGGCCTTGAGTATCTCAACAGGCTTTGCTACATGCAGAAACAAGGTTGGATTCTTTGCCCAAGGAACACAGTGGCAACTTTTCTGCCCGAGAAGCACAAAGGCAACTTCTCCAAGGTTTTGCCCAGAGCAAGGGATGATCTTTGACATGGACTCAGCAGCAGAACTCTAAGGTCAGACAGCCCCACATAAATAGTGAAATCTCAATCCACACAAAGGAGTGCTGTGAGATAGGCTGGAACTTCTTCCAAATGCTGGAAATTTGAAAGTGTATTTGAGAGACACCAGGACCCCAGGAAGTATTAGTCCACTCTTCCCACCAGCACCTTTGAAAAACTAGGATTCAGATAGAAAAATCAGGAGCCACAAGGAGCAAAGGGAGGGGTATCTTCCATATGGATCCTGCCTTGGCTTTGAGCTGGAAACTGTAGTGGAAATTACCCAGGAAAGAAAACAAGACCACCAATGAGAGAGTTGTGACATTAGTCTCCAGGTGGTTCCTAACCCACTAGACTCTTGTGTTTGCCCATGCTGAACCCTGTACTCACAGCTCATCACCATCACAAAATACTTCCTGCTAGTGCTGGAGAATATCAGGGGTTGAATGTCAGTTCTAACATGTTTTTGTCATAGGTATAGGGCTCACTAGACCAGTCCCTAGATGTAGGAATGATTCTTCATCCCCAAGTGAAAACTGAGCAAGCCCTCAGAGAAATCCATGTCAAAACTCCCACTAAACCCAGCAGCACTGTCCACTTCTCCACTATACGTGCCAGTTTTTAAAATACAGCTGTAGAGCAGGGAAATGGGCAATTCCACCAAGTGTCAGTCAAGGCTGCCTTCCTCAGCACCTGCAGCCTCGAGTGCCCACGGTCACAGCCAGGGACAAACCATCTTTGGGAGCCTTTGGATGAGTGCCAAGCACTGAAAACAGGTGCTTTATTTCCTAAAGACAATGGTAATCTGTAGAACTCCTCCTCCTGGTAACACTGTTAAAAGCTCAACCTCCTCCTGCTTTCATGGATCAATTACTACCAAAACGCCACCCACATCCTGAACCAAGTAGCACAAAAACATATTCTAGAAATATAACAAAGCTGGAAGTTGGACAGGTGATGTTGCAGCTCCACAAACACTGAAGCACGTGGAGGACACAACATGCATGAAAACAGGACTCCTTTCTCCTGTAAAAAATAGTGACTATCCACAGGCTTGGTGACTCAAGAGAAAAGACACTAAAAAATTCCTGGTATATTATTTTGGAATGCTCATGCAGTGTAAGAGGGAAGAGCCCAGCTGTCAGACCTATGGCTTTGGGCAAGCAGGTACAGACCCCAGCAAGCACATGCCTGCTGGCACAGCTCTGCACCTTCTGTTGGACCCACTGAGTGTGAGGGAAGGAAGGGCTGGTGGTTTCCCTCATGCTCAGCCCTCCTGCTGGAGCCAGCACTGTCCCAGTGCCTTCCCTCCCTGCCAGCAACAAAGCCTGGGCTTGCCCTGCACAGGTGATGGGTCTGAATCTCCTGCTCAGTGCAGGACAGGGTGTTTTTCAGTAAAATACATGTCTCATTGAGAGGTCACAGTAGGCTGTGACAAGAGAACCAGCCAACATGAACCTTTTGTTCAGCACGAGTCCACTGGCTCTCCAGGCTTGGAAGTCTAACTTGGGTGTTCCAGAGCAGTCTGATCACATTCATCCGTTCAAATAAAAAAATTCATTTTAAGTCCGCTTGGGCAGACATGAAGCATCTGTAGTTCGGGTCTGAACAAACCCAAACAAAGACTGCAGAAGCCGTGCTCTCCACTTCCATGTTCTCAGCCCTTCAAGACACAGGCTGGTCAGCCCTGAACTCTTCATTCAGCATGAAGGCAAAATGAGCTCTCTATCCTTGTCTATTCTCTCAAATTTCTGAGGAAGTCATAAAACACAGTTATAGTGATGAGGAGTCTGCTATTGATTTGCTCACTATCACCACAGAGAGTTGTCACTGAAATGGGAGCTTTGAATCCTGATGGGGGTCCCCCTTACTTGTGACACAAATTACCTGGCCAGCTCTGCCTCACTTAGTCACCCTCAGACACCACACTAGAAATTAATTTTCTACTCCAGTGGCACATCTTTTTGGCTTGTCACACTGTCCACTGATGTTACAAGAGAAGCTAACATCCCCCCAAGCTCTGCCTGTATCAAAGTGCTCGTGTCTGACTACAGAAGCCCCCAGCACCAGAGTGCCCTTGGCAGTGCTGGCACAGCATCAGCCACAGGTAATTTGCCCTCCAAGGTCACAGCCAGCCCTGCGGCTCCACAGAGGGCTCACAGCAAGACAAAGAGCTCTGAGTGTTAACAGGGCCTGATCCAAAGGCCACTGAAACCTGAGATTGCTGTTGATTTCAACCCATTTCCTAGTGATCCTTGTGAGTGGGCCCACAACTGCCCAACTCATTCTTTTGATCTTATTTACATATTTATATACCAATTACCTGATTTCCTCAAATCTGTTTCAACTGCCCCCTACAGAACTGCTAAACTCAGCATACTTAAGACTGTCCACCTCTCAAAGAGGGCACCACACAGCCTGGAGAGGTTTACCTAGCTTCATTTACCCCAAATCACCAGACATCAGCACCCTGCCCTGAGAAAACAGCGCTCCCAATGCCTTCTTCCCTCCCAATGGCAATATCTGAATTTGCACCCTCCAGGCCACCAGTTCACTGCTTTATGCCAAATGGCAACACCAAACAGCAACCAAAGACGAGACACAAGCACTGTCACTGGCTGCTTTAAGTTCCCAAGGCTCATAGCACATCTGCCCTGGCTTACCACCAGGCAATGGGACAAGTCACAGACGTTTCACTGCCTTACAGATTTTCCCTAGAAAGAGAAAACAGACTAAACCACAACCCTTGTATCGTTGCATATGCTGAGCCAAGGCAAATGCTCAAAACAGCATTCTCACGCTGAATTTTTGATTGCATGCAAACCCCAAATGGAATAAAAGACTCCCATGGTCAATATGAATTCCCTTCCAACATGGGAAAACAAGTGTTTAAGAACTACTGTCTTGCTCTTGTTAGAGAAAATTCCTTCCTTGTTTAAAACGAAGGAACTTATCACTTGGGTTTTATCTCCGAAGGCACATTTGGCTCTAGAAATATAAATGATATTTGCAATGCCTTAACGTGAATGGTCTCTCAAAGCTCAATATTAACATAGGCATTACAGATGGGCACAATCTTGAGCTGGGCACTATTTGGCCTGCTCTACTGTAAACACTCAAATCAGCATTGAAAGTTTCACAACTTCACCAATCCACATTAAAATGCAGAAAATCATTGGGGCATAAACACACATACAACCCTGTGCTGGTACATGCTTTAAACTCCTTTAATTTGTGCAGCTTCTATTCAGGTCATTATTTAAAGACCAGCTGTTTTGCCAGTTAGCTAAAACATTAAATGGAATCCTTCATAATGAAACCATTTGACTTTGAGAAGGGCTGAGGTTTAAACGTAGCTGAGAGAGGAAGAGAGAAGAAATAGTTAGGAAAACCCCTTACTACTCAGTAATAGCTCTCCTAAAACTATATAAAACCTAAAGGAAGTTCATCATTTTGGAACAGAGGGATTGCTCCTTAATCTGATCAGCCAGGCAGATAAACAGGCAGAAGCATTGTCACTATGCAGCCCTTCCTGAAAATATTGCATAAGCACATTACAGATCCATTTCTTTAACTAGATCAGAACTCCGAATACAATAAGCCATGATCTGTATCAGAAATGAATTTAGAAAGGACTCTAAATCCTCGTTAAAAGGGCAGGGATGAAAAATCAGAAATGCACAACCTGGAACTACAGACCCGAAGGGACATTTAAAGCCACAGCATCTGCATTTTCCCCGAGAAACTTATGTCTTCTTGACACCAGTTGGTTCTCCTGCCAGCTTTTATACACACTGCCAGGTTTTCCCTCTAACTTCTCTGCACATACAGAAATAAATTGCCAAGTGATAGCTTATAAAGGGAGACCCATGATTTGTTTTCTCATTAGTGAATTAGAGAACGAAGTGTCAATCTTCTTACCTTGAACTGACAGACACAAGTCACACTGTCTCCAATCCTTAAACACTCCCCATCAAATTTACAGGTATTGGTGTCGCAGAGAAAGAGATCATTTTCTCTGTCATCGTAACCTCAAATGTAAAGAGAGGGGGAAAAAAAGTCAGTTTTGGTCTAGCAAGAGGAACAATACGGGATGATTGCATTTTAATGCACAGAGCACAGTAACCTTGTTGATGAAATTGATGGAGTCCAGATTTCTTTTGTCCTTCCCTGCCCTCAGCTTTTCACTTTTCCTCTTGTTTCTCCCTCGGTGTTGCTCTTAGTTCTTATTCCCCACTACCTCACGCACTTCTCTTTCTATTTCACGGACTCGGCTTCCTCAGAAGTCACCCGGTAATTATGCTATTTCATGGCTCTGGGTTGGAAATGTCATCAACTTATCCCCATCCGATCACAAATCTGTTGGACAAAAGTCCAAATTGGAATTTCTCCAGCCCGTGACACAACAAAGCCCCCAATAATAAAGACAAACAGGCTGTGTGTTTTCTGTGATGGTCTGCCTGATCCCAATGAAGATTGATGACCTCTAAGTTAACAGAAGTGCCAGGTTCCCCACGAGCCGCTGAGTGAACCGAGCTCTTTGCCTTCATATTCTCCAGGAAAAACCAACAGATCTGACTGAAGATTCAGTTCACGAATACAAGCATGAATTTCAGATTTCGCTAGCTGACTTCCCACTCCAACAGCAAGACACTAAACAAAACAGCTATATCAGACTCCAAACCCATTAAGATCTGAATCCATTGATTTTTTAAAAAAACATCCGAGTGCTCTTAACCGTATCGTTACATGTTTAAAACCAAGAGCTCACAGCGCAAATTCCCCCCGATCTAACACGTCATGTGCGATGCACGCAGCACCCCAAATAACGCTCTTCCCCTTACAGAGCTACTACAGTCCAATTTCCGAATTATTTTACGTATCGGAGAAGGACCGGCTGCTGACCTACATAGGAAACGCGTTACAAAGGTCAGCCCGACTTTAAGGAGCAGGCAGCGGGTTCCCGGTGCGGCGACGCCGGTACCCCGACCCGCTGTCCGTTCGGTGCGCACGGGAAGAGCCGCCCGCAGGATGCGCACACGCGGCCGCTCTCTCCGCTCCCGCACAACGAGTGCCCCGCTCCGGTGCGGAGCCGAGTTCCGCCGGGGCCGGGGCTGTGTCTGTGCCCGCGGAGCCGCCCGCACCGGCGGAGGGCGCGGCTGCCGCGCCCGGCACCGCGGAGCGCGGGGCAAACGGGGCCCCGGGGGCTGCGGTCGCACCGGGAACGGCGGCGAGCCCCGACGCCCGGCACTTAATACAGCTTTCGCTATTCCCGTGCATTGAACGGGACGCGGCATCGCCCTCTGAAGTTGCCTCGCCCGGGCTCGTCCGCGCAACTCCGAGCGCCTGGCGGGGCTGCCGGGACGCTCGGCGGGGCCGGGCGCGGGGTGCTCCGATGCTTACCGGAGCAGTTCCAGCCGGTGGGCGTCTGGCAGTCGCTTAAGGAGGTAGGGAAGGCCGCCAGCTTGTCGGGGCGGGCGAGGACGAGCAGCACGGCGGGCAGCAGCAGCCAGCAGCAGCAGTCGCAGAGCGTCCAGCCGCCGCCGCCGCACTGCCGGGGCGGGGAGGGCTCCCAGGGCACCATGACTTCCTAACTCAACTCTCCGGCGGCGGCGTGCCCCCCGGGCGGCGCGGCGGGCGGCAGGGACGGGGGGCGGCGGGGCCGCTGGGCATCCCGGGGCCCCGGCCGGCGGCGGCAGCGGGTCAGCGAGCGGCGGCCGGGCGCTACGCTGGGGCGAGCGGCGGAGCCCGGCGGGGCGGCGCGGGGGTGCGGGCGGCGGCGGGGCGGGGAGCGGCTGCCATAGGGGCCGGGCGGCGGGGAGCGGGGGGAGGGCGCGGAGGGGCCGCCGCCGCGCAGCCGCCGCCGCCGCCGCCTGCCCCGCTCTGCCGCCCGCATCCCTCTGCGCGGGGGAAGCAGCAGGTCCCGGCCCGCCGCGTCACGTGCGCCGCCGCGCCGCCCCCATTGGCCGAGCGGGATGCGGGGCCCGGCGGGCGGGGCCGGCGGAGCTGCTGCGCCCCGCGGCAGCGCCCGGGGCAGGGCAGGGCCGGGCCGGGCCGGGCCGGGCGGCAGCGGGGACAGCGCGGCCGGCGGGGCCGCGGGCAGCGCTCCGCACCCCTGCGCCCGAAAGCGCCGTCCCGCCGGCTGCGGGGATGCGCCGGCCCCGACGGGGCGCGGGCCGGGCAGCGCCGCGCCTCTCCGCGCCCGGACATGTGCGCGCACGGCCCCGGCCGGCGCCGAGCCGCAGGTGGCAAGCGCGCCCGCGGGCAGGGACATCCGTGACACCCTCCGCGCACACACAGCGCACACGCCCGGGCGCTGCCGAAGTTGCCAACCGCGCGCCCCGGTGCCGGTATTTAATCACGCGCGGCTGCGACGTTAGGCAAATAAAACACCGTCACGGCTGTAGGGTCTGGAGCGGGCACAGGGCCGGAGAGGTGAGCAGGGGAAGAAACGAGCACTGCGGGGAAATCAGGGAGAAGAGAGACAGGGAAGATCTTGCCCAGCCTCGGCAGGCAGCGGCCAAGGTCTTCCTGGGCTGCGGCACCATCCCCGCGACGGAGCCGAAGGAAAATGCACCATCACGCTGGCACGGAGGGCTGCTCTGCCCCCTACACCTAAAGCACGCTGGCGGAGCGCAGCCCCGGAGCAGCATCCCGCCGCCTCCAGCCGGCGATGTGCCACGGGGCTGCGGGAGCCGCCTCCCCCGCTGCGCCCTGCGCCGCGGATCCTCCTCTCTCCTCCTATCTGGGGCTTCAGTTTTAGCAGGCGGCTGCCGGGACGGTCAGGTGGGGCGCCCCTCGCTCCGCCGGCGGCGGGAGCACCGCAGCAGTGTCCCCCCGACCCTCCCTCCGCAGCCGGTGCTGGGAGCCGCCGGCCCCGCCGCAGGGCTCGGGGCGACCCAACTTGGCCCCCTCCTCCGCGCATCTCCGCGCTCACAGACACCCGCCAGGTAAATCCGACCCCTGGCCCCCGACCGGCGCTTAACGTGCTGCCCTGCTGCCGGCGGGATGGGCGACAAGGACGCCTTAGATTGGAGAAGAATAAAAAGAAAGATCGGATCGATTTCTGCAGATGGCAGCAGGGAAACGCTTTCTAAACACGGGCGCTGGACCCCGCGGCCGCGCCTGCCGGTGGGAGCCGCCGGCGGAGCAGCAGCACCGGGCTGAACCGGGCTCTGTGCGGATGCCAGGCGGGCTGGGCTGGGCCGGGCTGGCCCTGCTCCTCCTCCCTGCCCATGGGGCCAGCTCGGCATCCCCGAGCGCTCCGGCACCGCACGGGCGAGCCACGGTGGGAGTGTGCGCTGCAGGCGGGAGTAGGGTACGGTTCCCTCTGGGCCTGGAGACCCATGAATGTGTGCGAGGAGACCCTGCTGGAACGTCGCTGTTCCCGAAAGTGTGACCTCCTTTTCGACCCCTAAGCTGAGAGTCCGCACAAATCCTTACACCAGCACTACTGCTTGTTATCCCTTCATATAGGGGCATGGTATGCGGGAGCCAAGGAATACTTCACGCACAGTTAATTCCCGTCTAGCTTCTCCCTAAGCTCTAAACCATCTCTTTTCTCCCCTGTACATCTATGCTTGCTCCCTGCTGTTATCTCTATTGACCTCTTCTGCCCACCAGTACTCCAGAAGCCTTTGCTACAATTAAAGGGTATCAATTTGCACATTACAAAATCTTCTAAAGCTCTGATGAAGTTCCACACAAACCCGTGCCTACGGTTTCCTATTTACTAATCAAGACCTAAGCAGAAAGAAAATACTAATTTTTACTGCCTGCTAGTGGTTGCACTGAATCTTATCTTTCATCTTCTGTGGGCTTACAGAGCATCTGCCAGCTGAGCACCTGGTGCCAGATCAATTTTTTTCCTTCCTTTTATCTCTTTACTTCATTTTTTCATGCTATTCAGTTTTTTCATATACTACCACGTCCCTTTTATTTCCCTGTCCCTTCTTCCTTTTTGTTTTAACTTTTTACTTTTTTTCCCCCCTCATATTCATTATTGCTTGTTAAAATTCAGTTCTCTGCTTGACATATTGCTGAGGTGCTTAAAAATCAAAAATGTCCTGGCTGGTCACTGGTACCACAGTCACACAGCCTCACCAGGGGAATATTCTCTCCTCCCTTCCAATCTTTTTGCTCCCCCCTTGTTTCTTCTTCCCACTTCCCTGGTTCGTCTGTGTGGTGTCACTTCTCTCCATTCCCCTGGTTGCAATTAGCAAAGCCTGCAGTTTCTATTCCCTTCTTCTTCACTCTCCTCCCTTCTTCCACCCCAACTTGCCTTCATTTCCACATAGCCACGGGTCATAAAGGCACCACTGGCCTCATCTTTAGACCTGTTTAACCAGACCACATGGGGAATGGAAGGGCTAGGTCAGTTTTTGAGCAGCCAGACCCTTTCTGACGTGTCCCTCATGTTTCACGTGATCCCACAAGTGTACCTGGCATTCACAGAGTCCCATTAAACCCAGCAGCAGAGCCCAGCTCTGGCCCTGCTGTCCCCAGAGTGCCATATAACACTGCAGACACCGAGCTTCAGGCTCACGGTGCTGACTGACAATTACCCTGCTTTATTTCCTGCCACTCACACAACAGGCACTGCCTGGGGAGAGGAAGAAGCCCCTCTGTTTGTATACTGGTTCTCAGACTTTGGGACGTGGAAGTTCCACCAGAGGTCCTGTAATTGCCACAACATGATGCCTGAACTGTGAACTGCAAAGCGTCTGCAAGGCAATCTCCTTATGGCACACGGTTTTTGCTCTGACTAGCACTGATATCTTCCTTAAAAAGATTTTCATTGTTGATACAAAAACTCTACTCATAAAAACATTTTGTTAAGATTAAAAAAATACATCTGTCTGTTCCAAAAGGGACGGCTAGACCCACAAGCCCCTTTTCTCAATTATGCTCTCTAGCAATTTCTTTTGAATTAGAGAGACTGAGATACAATCATTTTTTTCATGTAGTTCCAGGCTCCAAAGCATTCTACCCTCTTAATGCGACACTGCACACACCATCTCTCAGCAGCACATTATTCCCAGCTATACTTCAACACTTAGGCTAGTTGACATCTACAGTGTTGTACTCCCTGATGTGCCCATCCCATCTCACCACTGCACAAAAACTACTACTTGTAAACCACGCAGGCAGCTCTAGGCTGGTGTGAGGTACAAATTGCAACCAGCATCTCCTCACTGAAACACTGAGGTCATGCTACTGAGCCACCAGTGGGGTTCCTTGTGGCTACATGTTTGACTCTAATGCCAGGCGAGCAGCAAAAATAATCACAACCTTCTTGGAAGAGCCCTTCTTGTACGTGATGAGGGCAGGCTACATCTCGAGTATTAAACCCACCTCTTGTAGAGCTTTTCTGAGGCCTGCACAGTTTTGAGATGCTTATGCTATGAGAAACAGGGTGATGGGTGTATTCAAGGGCAGCTGATACTGATGCAGGTTTATCCAAGACACGTGGCCATGCCATGTGTACCCGTGCTCCGAGATCAGCCCCCAGCTGACCAGCAGCTGTTGGAGGTGTTTCAGGCCCTGGAGGTGTCACAGTGAGGGCAGGGTGGGTCCTGGATGTGCACTGCACTCCTTCAGCTGGGACTGGGCAGCAGCAGCAGCAGGCAGAGGGGGCCTGGGGCCAGACTGCACCTGATCCCAGTCCCACATAGCCACGTCTGTGAGTAATGCCTTCTGTTGCTGTGCTTGGCCAGCAGACTGTACTGGTGAGGAATTACGCAACCTCAGTTATTCATACTTGTATTATATCTTGGCTGTGCTGCTCTTGAGAGGCTGCAGATTCCAAAAAGTTTCCTAGAACTTGGGAGAAGCCAAATGGTACAGATGAGTGTACCAAAACCTCAGCAGCACAGGCTCTAAGTACACAACACCCGTTCTCTTTCTTCTCCATCTATGAAGCTATGACTATGAAGCTAACTTCATGGATCCTTATCTTTAAAACACTTTATGTCCTGTGTCTGATGTCTCTAAAGGCCCTGGGAAAGTAACCTTGATCAAGAATGTCAGTGAAAAAAAGGTTTTTACAGTTCGGTTAGTATTCATGAACAATGTTTTCTTTGAGTCAGCACTACAAGTATGGGCTAACGTTCCACAGCTGCTAAGAACAAATCCCACCAAATGTTCAAGGGACACTTGAGTTAGCCTCTTCCCTGTTGCCACCACATCACAGCCTGTTTATGAAACACACATTTACAGAATGGAAAAAACTCCAACCAAACCCCACTCTGTACAATTCTTGAGAGAATGAGAGCTGCACATGCGTGACCTATGGCAAGCTACCACTACTAGTTGTAGTTCCTAAGAAAAAAAAGTGAAAAAAGTCTATTTAACCTACAAGAGACTTGCCCAAACATGGTGGTCCCAGCCAATCCTAAAGAGAATGGAGTGTGGGGGTCACCAGTTTTCAATGGCAATTCTTCTTGAGAGAACGTGGGTCTGATTCAGAAGATCCCACCAGAAAAAGCTGGGAAGCCACTTGCCAGCCAAAAGATCCCAGGCAGAAGGAAAGGATGTTACCTATTCCAGTATCTGACCAGTGAAGGACACACAACCTGTATGCAC